TGGTCAAGAGGAGTCTTCTTGGGTCCAGCCTTGCCAGGCTGTGTTCATTCTGTGCCACTTGTCCAGGGTCTAGGAAAAGTCCAGCATGGTTGGTTCTGTTGCTAAGTTTACATATTAGAACTCTCTTTTAATGAGACAGTCCTTTTCCTTGTAAAATCTGTTTTATGTTCCCCTCCTTTTCTTTGGTGTCTTGTGTTCTGGACCCTGCAGCACTTGTGAGTATGGGAAATAGGAGATTTTTGAATAGGGAAAGGATACAGATAGACTGGCCTTTAGAAAAATAACTGAAACAAGCTGGGCATGGTGGTGCTCACCTGTGATCCCAGCACTCACTGAGGCAGGAGGAGTTTGAGGCTAACCTGGGCTACATAGTGAGTTTAAGACCAGCCCTAATTATAGAGCGAGACCCTGTCTCAAAAAGCAGGAAAAAAAAATAAGTGAAATGGATTGGAAGAAGTAGAGTGAAAAAGGATGATGGTTGCTTTGAAAGCCACTGCAGTGCCATGGGTAAGTGTGGATAGATGGAGTGCTGTGGTGGGAATGCACAGGTATGAGTGCACAGCGAGAGGATACGCCAGACTTCTTAACTAGATGGGAGGCCTAGGGCAGCATGACAGGGGCCCCCAAACATTGAGTCTGAGAAGTTAGGGGATCAGTAAGTATATTGTTTCTGTTTTCTATTTTGAGACAGGGTTCTTACTGTGTTGCCCAGTCTGACCTCGAATTCCTGGACCCAAATGGCTCAGCCTCTCAAGTAGTTGGGACTACAGGCATGTGCCACCACACTCTGCCCAGATCATGAAGCCTTTAATTAGGGAACACAACCAGGAGCACGAGGAGGAAGAGCCATGACAGAAGAAAGGAGTCTTAAGTTTGGACATTACCATGGTGAGGCCTCCAGGGCAAGCATGTAATGATATTTTGCAGACAGTTGTAAAGCAGCTTTGTGTTTGACAAGAGATACAGATTGTGGAGGCTGCAGGTGGAAATGATTGCCAAGGGAGAGAAAAAGAAAGAGCAGAAGCCTCATAGAAAACCAGGCTGGGAGAGAGACAAGAAGCAGCGGAGGAGATCTTGGAGGGGGCAGGGTCTTGAGCAGGAGAGATGGGCATGTCTTCCCAAAAGGAGGGAAGGAAGACCATGAAATGCTGACCCAGATACAATTTTAGATGGAGAAGAACACAGGTTAGGTTTATGCCTGGAGTTCCAGCCTTTAGATGAGGAAGGTAATGAGAGTGAGAAGTGCTGAGAGTGAGAAGAGAACTGATGAGGATCAAGCATGAGGCTTGCTCAAGACACTAGGGAGCCAGCCAAAGCAGTCTCATGAGCTGTCAGCGTAAACACTTACACTGTGTAGTAGAATTGAAGATCTGTGGACCTGAATAAGGAGCTATGGCCAGCTCTAGCCACTTCTGCAGGTGGACAGCTTTCTATGTAGGAAGAAAGAAGCAACAAAGATGTGAGCGGTGGTGATGGCTCCAAGAGCCTAGAAGATCCTGTGCTGCATATGCCAACTCCCACACTCTAGTTACTGGGAGTGGTTCCAGGAGCAACCAGGTCTTCGCATGTCTGGAGACAGTGGTTCATGTCTGGGCTAGATCTCTACGTAGATGGACTAAAGGTTTTGTCTTGTTAGGACAAAAAGCTTAAGCTCATGAGAACACTTTGGATGGTGTCTCTGAGCAATGCTCAGGCCTGATCATCTATATCAGTGGGAGGAGCACCAGTATAGAAGGCGAAACTTGCTCCAGAATTGTGTTCCATGGCCACCTCTAGTTATAGGAGTGGCTGAGGAGTGATTCTAAGATATAAACAAAATTTTGATGTCAGTCGGTTGGTTGCAAATGCCTGGAAATTTCTACAATAGTAATTTTAGAATTATAAGAAATCTTAGCAAATCCAATGAAGCCCTTCATTTTATTGATTAGACCGGGTTAGGCATTGCCTGTGGAGTCATATGCTTGTAAAGCAGGACTCAGAACTCAGACCTTTCAACTTCTGGTTAGTGTCTTCCCATTAGACCAAGCATACTGCCTGTCAGACTAGAAGGCACTGCTGTGCTGCCTTCACCTCTGGTTTTGCTTACCTCCCAACCACATTTTTTAACACCTGTGAACGAAACTGATCTTTGTTCTGAAGTATCACAAACTAGTGTACAAGGCCTAGTATAGAGGGCAAGTCTTTGGCATTTAGAATTTCAAGAACGTGGCAACAGTAAAGCAGCAGAATAATGAGCTGCTGCTTTTTTTTTTGAGACAAGCTGACCTTACATTCACTAGGTAGCCCAGGTTGGCCTTGAACTCACAGTCATCCCTCCTGCCTCAGCCTCCAGAGTACAGGGATTATAGGCGTGCACCACTGCGTCCAGCTTTTAAGACATTTTTGTAGTACCTGACATTTCATAATTCTGTGTCTATGATTACATGTTTAACATCTGTCTTTTCTGCTAGTCTCATCTTCATGAAGGCAAACCCTGTCTTTTTCACTACCATTTACCCTATACCTAGCAAACCAGTTAATGCAGATTAGACACTTAGAGCTATGGAATTAATGAAGGAAGCTTAGAAATCTTTAAATTTTTTGTGTATCTTAATAGCTTCTTCTGTGCTCAACCATTGTCTCCTCAGAAATCTGAGGAAAATGACAAAATAAAAAAAAACTATATATATTTAGTGACCTCAATTATGGAGATATAGTTTTATCATAAGTCATTATAAAACTGTCTTCTGTAGCATGACATTAAAATTATATGTTATATTTTTTGAAAGACAATATCTTCCTATGGTACAAAAATATAGAAAGCAATAACCAGTGAAAAGCTTCCTTTCTCTTCATAGTCGCTCATTTCTCCTCTTTAGATCCATTCGTGTTGCTAGTCTTGTGCCTGTCTTTCTAGAGACATTCTTGGCATTTACTAGCAGAGTGTATGTGTGTGTGTGAATAGAAGAGAACGTAAACAGTACCCATTGCCTTGTACTGTCCTTTTGTTCACTTAGCAAGCTGTCTTGGAGATAATTCTGTATGGTAGTTAATTAATATTCAGTTATGTAGATCAGGTGTCTGCAGACTAATGTCCCTTGAGTCAGCTCAGTCCTGTGTCTTTTTGGAAACCCCATGAGCTAACACACATATACACATACATATTAAGGAAAGGTTTATTTACCTTAGAGATTTTTATATTTTTACATGGTTGAAAAAAATAAAAAGAAAAACTTTGTGGAATGTGGGAATGATAAGAAATTCAGTTTTATGGAAACACAGCACACCCTTTGTTTCCCCATTGTCTGTTGTCAAGCTGTGGTGCCAGGCTTGAGCACTTACAATGCAGCTTGCATGCCCTTAAAGCCTAAAGTATTTATGGTCTGACTTTTTACAAGAGAGATTTGCTGACCCCTTGTGTAGATATGGAGTAATATATTTAATTAACATTTTGCTATTATAAGGCAGCGCTGTATAAGCTTGTGCATCCCACATTTCACACACGTGTGACTAGAACCAGAGGATAGAGTTCTAGAAATGGAACTACTCGCAGAGCTTTAGCATCTGTGGTGCATTACATTTTTTCTAATCCTGTTTAGTTGCATCAAGGGAAAAGGCAAGGGAAAATGAGCAAGGGTGGACAAAGAGCTTTTTCCCTCTCCTCTGGGTGAAATAGTTTACGGTACTGACATAGTGAAGTTCATGTTGGGAGGCCTCTAAGAGACTATTTGGCTCCTGTCAGAGGGAGAGGGAGGTAAAGGAGCAGTCGTTGCTAGTATGTGACCTGGGGGAGGTGCTGAGCCAGGAGTATTGGTCCCATTGCCTGGTGCAGACCTGATTCAGAATAAGGGCATTTGTGTGCTCATCTGGGGGAAGAGAGGAGATGGCTGGCACACGAGCGGAAGTCCTAGCCTGGAGAAACGTGAACTGTAGGAACTTGCCGGGTTGACACTGCTGTGTTCTAGAGAAAGTGGCACTAATATCTTGATGCACAGTGTACTAGGCACTGTACAAAAAAGGAAGCTGTGTGAGATCTGTTCAGAAGCTTTTGCATTTATTTAATTTCTCTACACATCTGTTCTTTTCCCATCTCTCTTCTTTCAAGGAGGAAAAAATCTCAAGAAAAAATGAGTATCTTAGTTTTCATCTTTCACTTTCCCACCGCTTTGCAGCAGTAAGCACTGCTGCTATCGGAGGTGTTTGGCATGAACTTGAAAGGGCAGAGTCCAAGCTAGGGCTGAGAAGTCAGCAGCTCCGAGCCCTCCACCCCTGCTCGGCTCCTCTGCCCTCCCTAAATGGAAGGCAGAGCAGCACGTGCAAGCCTTTGGGAGTCTTAGTATAAGTTGTCTCCTTTCTCTTCTCAGGACGCAAAGATATTTAAAGTATAAGATGAACCTGGAGAAGAAACTGAAGCAGATGCTTCTTAATCTCATTGTGGATTATTGTGCTTTCTTGCCACTTTCACTTTGTTTGGCTCAAGAAAGGTGATTTTTTTTCATAGAAGCTCTGAGGAATTATTTAGCAGGGGCCACACGCAGGAGGTGAGCCAGGCTTCATCTGTATCTACAGCACCCCTCACCCCAGTCCTTGGAAAAACTGTCTCCCACCAAACTGGTCCCAAGGCTGGGGATCACTAATTTAGGGAACGTAACTGTGTTCAGAGATCAAACATTTGACTTAACCTAGAGGTGAGAATTTGAGATTCCTAAAGGTTGTCAACAGTAATTAACACCCAGTAATTAACACCCATTTCATCTTCTTTAAGAAAGAAGGGAAATGGTTGAAGGAATAATTATGTAGGTAATTTTGCTGTCCTCTTTCCTCCTTCCCGCCTCTTTCCTTTTTAAGGTTAGTCTAAAATTTAAGACACATTTCAGCTGCTGCCCTCTGACTAGAAATTCAGAAGATCTTTTGGGTACCTAAATGGATAACAATTATTAAAAATTTGAGAAAGTAAACTCATATTCCTTCTTTCTCTTTGTTTTTCTCTCTCTCTTTTTATTTGCCAATATTTTGAGCAGATTCATACTCTAAGGACCGGGGACCTTGGATAGTAAAACCAGTGGCCTCTTCAAGGGGGCGGGGCGTCTACCTGATCAACAATGTAAGTATGCGGAAGATGCACCCTGAAACCCAAGCCGTTCCTTCTCTTGAAGAGCAGTTGCTCGCTTTTGAAACATGCATTGAGAAGTGAGTGGAGGATGAGTGTGAGTTGGCTGTTGTTCCCCTACTGGGAGCATCATCTTCCCAGGCCAGAACGCTTCATGGTCAAAACGCTGCTTCCTTGAAAAATGCCATGCAAGATGGCGTATGGAGGGCTAGTGATGTGGGCAATAAAACAGTTCATCAAGGCAAAAATAAGAGTAAGAAGGGACAACGGGCAAGTTTCTTTCTTCCTTTTGTTTTGAGACAGAGTCTCACTTTTAGTGCAGGCTGGCCTTTAACTCACTGTATAGCCCAGGCTGGCCTCACAGGTCCCTCTGCCTCAGCCTCCTGAGTGTGAGTGCTGGGATCAAGGGGTGTGCCACCATGCCCGGCAGTGGGTAAGTTTTTAAAACAGGAATCACATCAGGAGGGTGAGACACTAGGGGTTTTTATAAGGGTTTGAGGATGTAGGGAAAGTGTCGAGGCAGCAAATGTGGTTTTGTCAACAATGTTTTTTCCAGGTCATCTAGCTTCCTGTAAATTTTTTAGGAGCACCTATATTGTGTCTTGAATTGGATGTTTAGAATTATCATTGACAAGACCATTTCCTCTGGCCTCACAGAAAGCATTTTAGCTTTAAGACTATCTGTGCACATTAACTTTTAGAAAAGATGGTTTGAATTCATTGGGAGGAATGATGGAGCTTACATCAAAGGTTTGTTTTTATCTTGTGTGGTTTTCAGTGTTACTATATTGTCTGTGACTGCTCAGTATGTGCTGGTCAGGCTTGTTTTCAAGGGAGAGTTTGTTATGAAGCAGTTTAACCCTTTTTTGTCAATGGATAACCCCTGCTTTTAATCCCAGCACTCTGGGAGGCTGAATCAGGAGAACTGCAAGTTCAAGCCCATGAAGAGCAACTTAGTGATTTAGTGAGACTCTGTCTTAAAAAATAAAAAAGACTGAGGATATATGCTGTGCAAAGGCCCTGGATTTAATCCTCAGTACCTGCAAAAAAAAAAAGAGCCACGGATCAGATTTGGGGGAGAAACCAGGCATGGTGGCGCACGCCTGTAATCCCAGCACTCTGGAGGCTGAGGCAAGAGGATCATTGCAAGTTCAAGACCAGCCTGGACTACAAAGTGAGCTCAAGGCCAGCCTGAACTGCGTAGTGAGACCCTGTCTTAAAAAAGACAAAAAAAAAAAAAAAAAAAAAAAATTGGGGGGAGGGCAGCCTTTTGCGTCATGGTGGCTCTCAGCACAGATTATCAACTGGTACTATGTCCCTGTAGCTGAGTGCAAGCCCAGGTTCCTGCTTTGAGAGTTGTCCAACTAGTTAACCACATTTGGTCTGGCATCCTGTGCTGCTCCTTTTCCCTGCCTTCTCCGCTCCCTCCGGTTCTTCTTGCTCACCCTGTTCTTCTCTCTTCAAAAGCCATCAGTACCTTGAGTCTGCAAAATTTTCATTAATGTTCTTTTAAAATTTAATACATATGCAGAGTAAATAAAATAAAATCCCAGCTTGAGTCTCACTCTCTAGACTTGACACAATAGTGACTTCATATAGCTGATTTCTTTTTTCTCAACTTTATATGACATATAGTTAATGTCCAGTTTGACGTTTATTGTAATCACATCACCTCCCATCTGCCTGTCCACATTCTAAGTTTTTATTTTACTTTTTTTTTTTTTTTTTGGTTTTTCTCCGGTACCAGGAACCAAATTCACGACCTTGCACTTGCCAGGCAGGCGCTTTTTGCCGCTGAGCTAAATCCCCAGCCCTTTATTTTACTTTTAAAGTGTTAAAATATTTATAATTCTTTTCAAATAACCACAAATCAGTTTTTCTCCTTTATAAGGTGGGTAAAATAATTTAAGGTCAATAGGAACAGTCTTTATATAGCATTGGGGCTGTGAAATCAAACCAGTAGTTAAGTGTAGGGTTTTTTAAATTTTATTTTATTTTTCTACTGGACACTTGGTAGGCATTTCTGTCTGAAAAGAAGTGTCTTTCATTTAGTTTGGAGAAAATTATCCTCTCATCTCTATCTCCACTTTTGGAATTCCTTTTTGAGGCCTTCTGGGTCTTTCCTTCCTATGAACTTTTCTCATTTGTAATTCTCTATCTCTTCCCAATTTTTATCTTTGGATCACTACTTTGAGTGTTACTCATCTTGTTATTCATTCACTCATTTTTGTATTGGTTATCTTATTTTTATTTTTCAGAAACTTATTTTATGATTTTCTTTTTTCCTTTTTACTTTTAAACAGTGAACTTAGTTACTTTCTTGTTACTGGCTCAAAATACATGACACCCATAAGCTAAAGGAGGAAAGATTTATTTTGGCTCACAGTTTATAGGGGTTTCAGTCCATAGTCAGCTGGCCCCAAGGCAGGGCAGCAAAGCAGAGAAGCATAGCTGAGGAGAAACAGTCCGTGGCATGGCAGGGAGAAAGCAACAAGCAGTGAGCCTGCCTTCTTTTCTGTGCCTTTATATTCCATTCAGGCTGTAAGCCTAATGGTTGCTGCTGCCACACCCAGGAAGGGTCTTCTATCCCATACCCAAAACTATGCTGAACCAATTTAGTTGTCATATACTCTTAATCCCAGTATCGCATACCCTAGATCAGTGATGGCGAACCTTTTAGAGCTTTCAGTGATAACAAACATCCACCTGTGGCACTCGTGCCATAGGTTCATCGCCACTGCCCTAGATCCAGCCACCTCTGAGAAGCTCCACCTACGAGCAGATGAGGCTTTGAGGGTGGGGCATCATGGCCTGTTGTTGCTTAATGAATGCTGTTTTACCTGTTTTTTCTGAAGCTACCAAATAAAGTACTGTTGTATTGTCAAAGTTCTGTTGTGTTGCTGAATTTCTGTGGAATTGTCTTTCTTCCTGCTATTGGATTTTCTCAACTTTCATGATCTGAAAGCTTTGGGCCATATTTATGAACAAAAGAGTAGACTGAAACTGGTGGCTGGCCTGATGTCCCTATGATTGTGTATCATTGACCTGATCTCCCTAATTGCATATCCCTGGATGGGAGCCTGATGTTTTGTAAGAGCCAAGCATGTTGATTGCTGGGCTTCACCTTAGATGTTGTATGGTTAAAAATGTGGGCAAAGAGCATACTCCTTCCACTTGCCAACATGGGGTAGGCCTCATTATGATTGTAGGGGTTTTGGTGATTTCTTTCTTAGGCAAAGTGGGTGTCTTGATTACTTTTTCTCTCATTGCTGAGACAAAATATCTGATACCCAAAGTTAAATGAGGAAAGGTTTCTTTGGCTCAGTTTGTAGAGGTTTCATTTCATAGTTGGCTGGCTGCAAGGCGCGGTGGTATGCAGAGGGGCATCACAGAGGAGAAACAGTTCATGGCAGGCAGAAGACAGCAAAAGCAGCAAGCAACAAGTGATAAGCCTTTCTGTCCTGTATATTTTATCTAGGCTACCCAGCCTTAGGGTGGGTAGCACTCATACCCTTAATCTTGGCATCACAGACCCTAGGTCCAGCACCTCTGAAAAGCCTCACCTGTGACTGCATGTAGCTTTGGGGGAACATCTAGACACAAGCCATAACAATGCCCATTCCTTTGTTTTCCTTTCTGGGTCTGTGGGAAACAAAGAGTGGCCTCTAGGAGGTCTCCGCACCTGTAGAAGCTGTGCTCTGGGTGTCAGAGGAAGTCTGTAGCCTCATCGTCCCCTGGGCTATATGAACTTAATGATATGATTCCTGTTCCTGAGCCCTTTGCCTGGAACTTTGCAGGGCCTCCTTATGAAGATCACTCTCCTCTGATATCTTGGGCTAGGATTTCCTCTACTGTTTTTCCAACCTGATCCTGTCTGCTTTCTACCTTTAGGATTTGTTTAAACTTTTGTCTGTTTGGCTCCTTTTACTTTTTTTCTAGCCTTATTATTTCATTCTTCTGAAAATACCCTTTCTATCCTTCCAAGGAAAGTGTAAGTGGGGATAGATACATTGTGTGTGTGGCCAGTACTCCATCTTAAATTCTGCACTTATCTTTGCACATTAAGCTATTTCCTATGTGTGCAGAAACAAACTTTCTGGGGAATCTTTCACTTTGGAAAATCCTCATATGCGGCCTGGACTCAGAACTGTACAGTAAACAATGATGACCAGACCTTTCTTGCCAGATAAATAGAGGGTCTGGTTTGAACAGAGCAAGTAGTACCTCACCCGGCCCCAGCTACAAGTCCTATTCCCTGGCCTGGGTCTCTTTGGAGGCCTTTTCCCTGGGTCTCAGGTGACATAAACCCTGGTCACGTGCCTTGGCTGTCTCTGTCCTTGTCTCTCTGACCTTGGCATAAGACTCCCATCCAGCAGCTGTTCCTTCAGTCCTGTGCCAAGAGCTCCAATGCTGTTTGACTCTCTTAGACAGCTCTAGTTTGGGTTTGGGTTTTAGCTGCCAAGTGGAATTGCTATTGAAAGTCATCTGTGGCATAAGGTTGCTTTTTATTTTCTTAGACATGAGTCAGAAAGAATAGGATCAATTCCTAGCTCATCTGGAACTTTTTTCCTTTTGGAATGCTCTTTTGCTCTGGTGATTTGTTCTCTTAAAGCCAACCTCAGAAGAATAGAAAACTTAAACTTGTCTTGGTGAGACTGAGAACCCCATGCCCTGACTCTTGCCTAGTGCTGAGGATCATAAAGGGAATGACACGTCTGTGGAGAATGCACATTTGGCAGTGAGAGTCTCTCTCTCTCCCTCCCACCTCACCCTTGGCTGAATCCCTTGAGACCCCCTGCATAGATCAAAGTACTTGGCAGGACTTTTTGCCTTTCCCCTCCCCTTCAGTGAGGCTTTGGACTGAATCTGATTATTTTAGGTATTCAGTGAAGGTGCCAGACAGAAGCTTGGGAAGATGCCAGCAGGCACAAGGGGAGCTGGCAACATGTGGACAAAGGGGAACCTATTCCACCCCCACGCCTGCAAACTGGAATTTTATCACCTTTTACGTAGACCTGTGTGGTTAATGTTCCTCTTTCTCCTCACACAGAGGCCTGACCATCCTTCTTTTCCATACCTGGACCCTGTCCCGTGGAATATGTGACCCATCAGCCAGCTGGATGAAGTAACACTTTCCAGGGCCGCTGCCTGCTTTCCTTTCAGATGTGCAGGGGCGGGAGCAAGTGCTCGGCCGGAGGGTCTGTGTGTGGAACCACTGTGTGTGTGCGTGGGGGGACCTGGCAGCGGGTGGGCTTAAGTGTGTGTGCCAAACGAAAACATCTTTCCTCGTCTTCCCACTGGCAGGAGAGGGCCTCTTATTAAAACTGCCCTGTAGTAGTCATAGCTTTTTGGAAAATATCCGCAAATAGCAACTCTTACCATAAGGAGAACAAAATAAAGGGGAAAAGATTGAATTGATATCGGCTAGAAAAAGCATTACATTTATGTAATACTGCAGAGAGCAGTGTGGACTCCTATGGGTAGAAAGGACACATCTTTATTGGTTTGCTGACAAGGCCTCTTAACAATGTGTTCTTTAACTCTAGAAATGCCCTATAAAGGCTCAAAGTTGTGTTTGCTCCGGCTCCTTCAGAAACTGTGACTAAAAGCCCTGTTTTCCCAATTTAGTGTATTCATATCATGGAAGGGAAGGACCTGGTGTTTTCTGATTAAAGCATGAATTTGCTTCTGGTAGTCCAGCTCAGCTAACTTGTCTCACACATTTCCCAGGGCAAACGTAGTATTAAGTATTCCCTGAGATTTTGGGGTATCCAAGAGAGTTGGGCCACTCTTGTCACTCATGTGTGAATACAATATTCTGTACTCCCTTGTGTCCGTGTGTGTTTATCTTACATTCTTTGTTTTTCTCCTTGTTCAGCAGATACTCAGGAAGTGCCTGCTTGTGGCAGGTGCTGTCACTCCTTAAAACCTTTTAAGAAATTCTCCTAAGGCTTACACCTCTTCATTGTACGTCAGTGTACCGCTCCCAAGTAGAGTGGGACGTGGAATGCAGTGATGAACGCTGCTGAGTTGTGGAGTTCAGTAGTTAGAACCACACAGATACTCTTGAGTTTGAAGCAATAATAATAACTGCTATCTCTTGAGCACTTAACATGTCTGTGCCACTGTGTCTTCCAAATATAATTTTATTTAATGTTTATAAGAAAGCTGTTAGGTGGTTATTGTCAAGGTAGAGTCAGGGTGGTAACTCAGGTGTAGCTGACTGCAGAATATATCCTGTTAACCACTATACCATCCTACCCTACAAGAACTTGCCAGATACCATGAACTTTAATATTAAGGTCCAGTTAGGGAAAAGAATGTGTTTCCAACTTCCCCACTGTTCAGATTGCTGCTTTAGCTCCTCCCCTATGAAAGGAGCTTGAGCTTGAAATTGAAATAATTTAAAATGAGTTCACTGAGCATTGATGAAAAGGAAATAGGAATCAGGGTGTGAAAAAGCTTTCATTAGTTGTTCTGTGTACAACACTAAACAAAGAAAACATACCCAGTTACCCTTTAATTTTGTGAGCTTACAATTTAATTCCTGATGCAGGTAGAAAGGCAAGGTAAAGACAGTGGAACAGATGTTAAGGCTACCTAAGTCATGGAAGGGCTTGTGTTACACGTCACTCAATGGATAGATGAGTACAGTAAGGGTGGGAAAAGGGAAATGGGCAGCATTAGATGTGTCATGGAGTGAAGCCATATGTTCTGTGGAAAAGATGGGAGTTGGGCAATCACTTATCTGCAACAGCATTTAGGGTTACTCACTCGGAGATAGCTGTGATGGGCTAGTTCTAGGTTTGTAACACAGCCTACAGTTTACTGCTTTGTACAGTGATTGCACTGAATCTCATTCACTAACCTGGCCAAGTTGGAGATAGTACTGGTGAGAAGCTAATCAAGAAATGCAGAGAAGTCAGGGAATGGCATGACAGCTGTGTCCTTGGGGTGAATCAGTACTTGTGGCATTGTGTTCAGATGATACATAGAGATGGCAGTGTGCAAGCTGCCTTTCACTCTAGGATAGCAGCAGTGGGAAAGGAGAGGGGAGTCTCACTGTCTTGACTCCAGAGTCGCTTGTGGTGGTTGTGAGTAATGTTATGGGTAATAAAATTATCCTTATTTTATGAGTAACTAGCATTTGGGATGGGAAACACCATATTACAAAGAAAAACTTTGGAATTTGGGGGATAACACTGGGGAGGATTACAAATAGTGCTGAGAAGTTAAAGATCTGACACATATTCCCAGGGCCCAGTACTGCTTTATCTATTAGCTGTGTGACTTTGAACAGGTCCCTAACCACTCTGATTCTTTTTTCATTAGTGATACACCTGCCTCATGGGGTTGGGTCAGTATTAAATCAAATCACACATAGTAAATGCTCAGTATACTTACTAAATTTTGTTTGTCCAAATGTTAACAATTATTTCTGAGCTGCTTCTGTAACTATTATCACAATTATTCATTGCCATTTCCCTTTTGAACTCTTGTGCATGCTTGCAGCTGATTCTCTGTCTTAATCTAGAATCCATAACTTCCTGCTTCCCACCATGTTGAATTGAAACTCCTTTGACAGATGTTTAGATCCCTTTGCCAGTGGGGTCCCTCTTCCTAGTTGTCTAACACCCCCTTTGATTATTTCCCAGTTCAGGCTTTAGCTACAGGCCCATGAATCAGCCTATCCTCCTTTGTATGGGGTTTTGTGGGCCATCCATGGCCTCCTTTCTTCCCTACCACGTGCCTGGTAGCTTGGAGCACTCACTCCTTCCTGGGCAAGCTTTCCCAGTGGTCCCACCTTACTGGCCTACTTGGCAACCTGACATCTTACATTCTCAGAATCATTGCTCTGTATTCTTCCAGATTATACACACTGCTGTTCTTATTTCTAACTATTAAACTGTTGGGAGATAGGACTGCTAAATCTCACGTTCTGCAAGGACTGAGATTTTATCTGATTTCTCCGTCACTATATCCCCCAATGTGTTGTACGGTGTCCAGTAGCACCCACTATTTAGTGTATAAACGACTTTTCTTTATTGAAGAAACTTTTAAATGATCTAATTCAGTTTTTGTACACAGTTGCTTAGCAAGTGCTCTTAAGTGAATCAACCAAATACCCATTCCACTTCACAGAGAAAATTCTGGGACCCATTAGGGAGTTGCACATTCTCTAATTCAATGAAAACCTGCATTTATGAACAGTGGTAGTGTTTGTAAAATTTTCATTGTATTTCACCTTTTGGAAGGAGCAAATTTTTATATTTTTCAGTAGCTCTTGTTTTCTTGACATATAATTATTTAATTTCGTGTTTATAAATCTTTATAGCTCTTTAGGCTGTATTTATTATGTGAGATGCTGTGTAAATTCATTTTCTCCCATTGTAATTGAATATCCATAGTGTTTATAGAAGTGGGCTGTTATGTGCCCAATTGAATATTTGGGTACCCAGAGGAAAACTTTTCCTAGAGTTTTAACTTTCCACATTATTTCTTAAAAGGTTAAGAACTTTGTTCTTTTATTATAAATTAGAATCCCTTTGCATTTCTACCCTTTTATTCTTTTTGTTTACTCAATAGCCAAACCAGATTTCCCTGGAAGAGAACATCCTGGTCTCCCGTTACATTAACAACCCCCTGCTAATAGATGGTGAGTTGTGATTAGACTCTTGACTATACTGGCTAGATCCTGCTAAACTTTTTAACCTCTTCATGGTCTTCTCTAGTGTTTTTAAAGCTAGTATGAAATTCTTGATATCCCTGGCTTCAGAGATGAGGCAGGCTAGTTCATTACCTACCACTGGGGATTATTTTGAAGATGAAATAAGATAATGTAAGAGAAAGTGCTACTGGGCATGGTAGCACACATCTATAATCCTAGCACTCTGGGAAGCTGAGGCAGGAGGATCAAGAGTTCAAACCCAGCCTGGGCAACTTAACAAATTAGCAAGACTCTGTCTCAAAAAATAAAAAGGGCTAGAGATGCAGTGCAAAGGCCTTTGGTTCAGTTCCCAAGACCGCCCCCACCTTGTGAAATGCTTTATAGGCTATATAGCCATCAATGCTATATGAAAATAGTATATATATGCACATATAATATAATAATATAGTTTTTATTATTTATCTGCAAAAAAAAGGTGTGTAGGTAGTGTGTGCTTCTTATGAAGAGGAATGTTCTTTCTTTCATAGTTTACATTTTCCTGATCATTGTCGAAAGAACTCAGTTTTTCCTGTGAACCCTCCAAACTTTTTTTTTCAGATTTCAAGTTTGATGTGCGCCTCTATGTACTCGTGACTTCCTATGATCCTCTTGTCATCTATCTCTACGAAGAAGGATTGGCTAGGTAAGGCACTATGTTTTTGAATGCAAACCTCACTAGGGGCGGTATATTAGAGTGGATCTGTGAAAGAGTGTTCTAAGATCAGGCTGCTTCTTTCAGGAAAATGGAGTATACCCAGGCGGGCTTCCAATGACAGAAGGCAGTCTTCATGCTCAGTAGGTTCACTCTCACACCCACACAAAGTATGTGCCAGTGCCACCTTGCCCGGCAGTGATCTAGGTCACTGATTATTTTCATGCAGTGTTAGGAAGACTTAGGGTAGTAAGATAATTTGCCATAGTTGTTCAGAATAGATCTAGACAGAAAAGTTGAACACCACATTTATTTACCTGTCACAAACCAGGCATTTATTTACTCCTCACAGCACTCTTATAGTTGATGCATTTTTGTAGTTGAAGAATCTGAGACTTAAAGAGGTGAGGAAGATTCATGTCAGTGCCTTCTGAGACCACGCAGCTGAGGCTGAGTGGAGCAAGCTGAGTGAGTGGAACTCACTCACTAAACTGTTCATGCTCTCTTATATTTAGGGCATTAATTTCCCCCTACTGTGCAAGTTATATACTTTTGTAGTGGTCATGTATACATGGTTTTCTTCTTGAGGTGATTTGTAGGTTTTAAGATACTACATTTTGCAAAATTAAGTTCAAGTTATAATAATCTTTTTTTTTTTTTTTTTGTCTTTTTTGAGTCAGGGTCTCACTATGCAGTTCAGGCTGGCCTTGAGCTCACTTTGTAGCCCAGGCTGGTCTTGAACTTGCAATGATCCTGCCTCAGCCTCCCAAGTGCTGGGATTACAGGCGTGCGCCACCACGCCCAGCTTCAAGTTATAATACTCTGAAGTTTTGTTTCCCATACTCATAGAATTTTACAGATGATAGTGTTTCTGTAAAACCTTTAAATTCTTTAAAATAGGTGTACAACTTTGCTGTGGTTGGTTTTCTTTTCACCACAGAGCTACCCTCGTTCCTTCTTCCCTCCCTCCCTTCTTTCCTTCCTATTTGCTCTGAAGTTCTTGTGTGCAGTGGTCTGTGTGTTACATCTGTCAGCAGTCATGCCAAACTAAAAAGTGTGGTCTGTGCATATTTATTTATTGGAAAATGTGCTTTGAAGATAGGAAATACCATGGATAAAGCATTACCTATGATGTGTACAGCTGATGAAGAAAGTAGATACAATCTCTGCCTGCACAGAACTTAATTTTAATATCTTCATTTATGTATAAGGGCTTTAATACATGTTATTATATTCTGATTACTGTTACTTTTTGGTATTTTTTCAGTACTGGAGATTAGAACTACATCCCAGGCCATTTTAATTTTTATTTTGAGACAAGGTATTGCTAAGTTGCCCAGGCTAGGCTTAAACTTGTGATCTTTCTGTGCCAGCCTTCCAGACTCTTAGGATGACAGATGTGTGCCACCGTGTCTGACTTGAGTAATATTTTAATTGTTTTATATCCTTGTTTCCTTTGATATGTCCTGTGACCAGAATCCAGAGTGAGAGCAGACAAACCAAAGCTTCTAGCTGGTTGAGCCATGTCTTCCCTTCACCTCTAGGTGGCGATGACAGCATTTATAAGGCCTGTACGATTCCTAAGATTTCTGAGTTTGGGCCCTGGGAACAGTGAAGGCTACTGAGGCTCCATGGTTCTGGGCTCTGTCTGTTGAAAATGGAGAAGGGGGAAGAAGAAAACATTTTGCTTTACGAAGGCTGGGACCAGGCATCTGAGCATGAAGCACCTGTTAGCCCTAATCAAGTCTTCACAGGAAAGTTTTCTATCGTGTTTTTAGACAAATGAGCTCACATATTTGGAAGCAGAGCTAGATAAGACTAAGTAGAAAAGCATATTGCCTATTTTGTCTGGAACAAAAAGAAGGTAAAATATACTCCTAAGCTCTGCTCAAGGATGTAAGTGCCGGAGATGGCAGTTTTGCAATTGGAGACTTCTGAGCTTTTCCTCTTTGCTATCATGAGCGTCTCCATTTCTCTTCTTCCACTCACCCTCACCCTAGCTTGCCTCCTTCGTCCTGCTTGGCAGTTGATTATCTCTTTCCATAAACTGTACTTCTGCTATAGAACAAAGATGTCAAGGTGATTCATGCATACTGTCTCTTAAGGATATCATACCAGTATGCTTTGCACAGTATTCCAAGCATATGTTATTCCCTCATGAATAAAATTTGGCAGTTTAAAGACTTGTATGGTTTACAGCACAAAATGAGAGCAATACTAACATTTATTAGAGTTTTACTATAGATTTGTCAGTGCTTTGACTACTGCTTGTACCCTCTAAAGGGAGGAACTCTTCTCTTGCTTCCAGCAGGAGCTAAAATACAATATTTAACCAGTGGATTCTTGTGGCAGAATAACTCAAAAAGAACTTTTTAAATATTCATACCGCACTGAACCCAAAAAACATGGGTTTTTCAGGGCTTTGGCTAGGTTTACCTGAAAGTGTAGGTGACAGTAAAGCTTCCCCAAAAGATGGCACATGGCAGTGGGACAAGCTGTTCGCCAGCGTCCTGCAGGGTGCACTGTTGTCTGCAGTCATTCGGATGCACCCGAGTCCCTTGTCCTCGCTCACTGTGTGTCTCAGCACACACCTGCCTTTCAAGCCTCAGCGCGTGCTCCACTGTGTCATTACGTCCCACAATAGTCTACAGCTCCTCAACTCCGCAGCTTCTAGTAGTCTTAGGTCATGTGTGCTTTACGTAGACATAACTGAAGATAATCACTGTGAGATGAGATCACTAAGTCATTTTACTTTGGGGCTTAACAAGGAAAACCATAATCTTCCCTAAAGAGGGAGAACCGGAGGCAAAAATAATTAGTTTCTTTCTTTAGAAAGGAAGGTTCCTACATCATTATCATTTCTATTTGGGGCCTCACGTTACTGCTAGATGACAGAAAGTTCATGAGACAGTTTTGTGAAATAAGTTACTTTGTGTAAATTTTTTACTTTCTTAAACCCACTAAAGAAAAAAAACCTAATTTCTTTATAGATTAGTGTTTCCAGTTTTTACTTTAGTCATATGGGAAGTAGGAAGACTCTCTTATATGTGGGTAAAATGTTGAGGTGTTGTCCAGATGCAGTCGCCTTCCTGATATTTGGGTCCTCTGTCTTGTGTTTCAGGGTAGTACTGCAGAGGTCACCCTGAGTCAGAGCTTCCAAGTGATGTAGGGGAAATAAATGTAACTCCCGACCTGCTAGATATCAGATACATTAAGTTTGTGTTCCCCAAAATCTAAGAATGAATTCTAAGGAACAGTGGAGATTAAGAGAAGGAAATATTTGGGAGAGAGAGCTCCTGAGAGATAGGAGGGGACCCAAAAGCGGGTTGCCAACAAGCCCACTTTTCAGAAGTTTTATAGAGCAAAATCATGAAGTAGGTACAAAATCATGCAGTAGATACAACGTGGGTCAAAAACTATGATCAACCAGTAAGATTACCAGTATACCCACTTAGGTAATACTGATTCAGTGGGGAAGCAGGTCACGTAGCAGTGTACATGGAAAGAACAAAAGACCTTTTTAGGAAGGGATGGATCCAGATGGTCACTCACCTGGGTGACTGATGTCAATCTAGAAGTTATTGGACCAGGTGATACCAATTATAGTATAACCTTCAAGTTACTGCTTATCTCTTGGGGAAGCATGTAGGCCTGGTCATTCCATCTTTACTTTGAGGGCTGGCTTTTGGGATGCACCTTCAGCCAAGGCTGTGATGTGTTCTCATCTTCTGCACTGACTCCGTCCAGGGCCTACCCCTGTCTGACTGCTTATAATATTTTTATCTAACTGTCAATAATAGAAGCACATTGCTGTTTAGCACCAGCAGGGGACACTCAGTTTCCAGAGAGGGGTTCTCTTCTCACCAAAATGGTGGAGATTCTTTTTCCTGTCAGAAGTGGAATCCAAAAAGAGTTTGTCCTGGATTTTACAGCTGTAAGTGGATCCAATACAGGGTTTAAATTATTTGACAAAACCCTTTTGGTAGAGACAAAGCTAATAGTCAAATTTGCACTGAAATAGGAAAAATAAAAAGTTTTAAAAATAAAAATAAAATTGAGTTAAAACCCACATGCATTGTGGGAGACTCAGAGATAGAGAGCACTAATGCTTTGGGACAGGAAAGTGCCCATCTGGGGAACTGAGGGTGTCCCACCCATGCAGTGGAGGTGGGGGATGTGGGGAACTCAGGAAGGCCCAGATGGGTTGACTTTTTTCTACGGCATGATTCAGTGGGAATTCTGAAAAGACCCCAAGCTTTTGTAATGCCTTTCCCTTCTTCCTCACCCCCAGTTCCTTCTTCAGTAGTCTTCCTTGCTAATTAACACTGGCTCCGCAGGGATATTTACCTTTTCTCTGCCGGATTCCTGTGGTTTTGAAAGAATTCAGGTACTTGCTGGTTGCCAAGGAATTCCGATTACCTCACAGGCTGCACACTGTCCAGAATCTGCCACAGCAGCAAGTGGGGGGAAGAGACACCAAAAAGGGGGAGAAACCCTCCTCAGCGCTCATTGTCACCCTCCCTGGCAGGCCCTGGCTGTTTGTGAAGTTTGAGTCATTTCTGGCTCTGAAGACAGAGGATCAGGCTGGTAATCCCCTCCCAGACGCTCCACAGGGTGCTGCCGAGTCACTGCCGCATTTTGGCAGTCTCCGGGCTGCAGCTGGTTGACAGCAGATCAGAGAGCACTTGGGCCTCTTGTTCTCTTCCATAAGATTTTTCTGGGTCAGGCCAGCATGAAACCCAGTGGCTCCCGGCAAGGCTGCCCGAGGTGGAGTCTCTTCAGGGTCCAGGCCTCTGTGGCTCAGCCTGCCTACACCTGCTAAAAGATGACTCACTCACGCACCACAGCTCAGACTCCTCAGGGTTGACCTCATCTTCGTACATTTATAGGGAATATAGAAAAGAAAACCACCAACGAGGGGGCTTAACTGTCCTACATCTAAACTTTAAGACTAACCACAAGAATATATAGTGTCCAATTCTTAGAAGAAC